GATAGAAGACAGAATTATTTGAGGTAATGGTAATTGAGGGTAAAATTCCAAGCTTCGGGGCTATTTGAACTAAGCAATGATTGGAAATGCATTTTTTTTTGTGTCTGTGTGTTAACTTAGATGAATCTTCCTTAGAGCGCTGTTTTACGAATTTGCTCAGGTGTACATATTCCCAAACATATATATTAACAATAAACATGGCATTTCATGTTCGAGCATGTTGATTTGATGTAACGTTAACTTATAATCCATATATGTAAGCCAAAATCAATTGTGCTAATATGTATTAAATACAAGTATACAACATGCTCTCAAGTGCGAGGTTGTGTCAATATACTTCATTTTACAAGCATACAGATAAAGTAGTTGAGCGATACCCTTTTTCTGAATGAATAATTAACTATTTGTCACTGGACCCACATGTCATAGACACATGAGGGCCGACATGTCATAAACAGTGAGTGACAAATAATTAATTGCCACATCTTAAAAGTGACGAGGAGTTAAATATCCCCTTTCTAAAACTCTAAAGCTAATCAATACCAGCTGATCATGTATGCCACACCACACCAGAATTCGCTAACTGATTGAAACACAATCAGCATCTTCCGTTGTTGCATAGGATTAGGAAAACCGAACTCCGAGACGAGCCAAGTAGCCAACCAACAAAACGAAACGGAATGAAGTGCACTGCACCGCAACAAAAATAAACGCCGATCCAACCGCACACTCGCGCGGTGCCGCGCCAGAGAGACAACAGCAATACACCAATCCACCTATCTGGCGTACCGCGTACCACCCCCACCAAGGCACCAGCACGGCAGCAGCACCACCACCACCAGAGAGAAAAAAGAAAAAAACACCACGACCGCGCCGCACCACCCGCCCGATCCGCCCGCGACCTCCCCCCCAACTTTTCCCCCCTCCCCCTCCTTTCCTTCCCCTGCGCTGCGCGTCCGCGGCTGACTGCGCTGACGCCCGCGGCCGCCGCGGCGTCGCCTGCCGAGTCCAACGCGCGGCCGGGGCCCCGGCTACCCCCCCCTCCCGGGCCCCACCCGATCCGGCGGTGTCTCCCCGGATTCTCCTGCACAGGGGGAGACGCCGGGATGAACCGGATCCCGTCCGTCTCGCTGCGGCGGGACGGGGCCGCTGGGGAGGAGGAGGCGGCGCCCGACCCCGCGGCGCTGGCGCGGTGGGCGCGGGCATTCTGCGTCATCCGCTTCGACCTGGAGCGCGGGCAGCTGGTGGAGGCGTGCTACCCGCCGGGCGCGCTGGCATCCGCCACGGGCCTCGACCGCCTCGTCGCCTTCTCCTCCTTCCCGGACTCCATGTCCCACCACCTCCCGCGCCACCGCTCCTCCGTCCACGACTCGCTCTTCTCCTTCCGCGTCCCGGGCCCCTCCCCCTCCGCCTCCGTCCCGGGCTCCCGCCGCGGCTTCCTCTACGGGTTCGTCTTCAACCGCCAGCGCCAGGACGAGCGCCTCCCCCGCGGCGGCGAGCAGAAGTCCGTCGTCATACTCTCCCACGCGCCCTACTCCTCCCTGTTCCGCCTGCTGCTGCAGATCCTCGGCCCGCTCTGCTTCGACGTCGGCCCCTCCGCGCTGTCCATGGTGGCGTCCCACGTTGCCGCCTGGCCAGCGCCGGTGCCGGGCCGCCCCATGGAGCTTCCAATCGGCAGCGCGGCTCTGCGGGTGCACCTCCCGCCCGCGGCCGACGACCCTGGCCCGCCGCCCGCGCTGCTGCCGGCGAACCCGTCGGTGCCGTACGGCCTCTTCCACGACGCCGACCTGTTTGCGGCTTTCCGCGGCCTGCTTCTCCACCTATGGACGCTCTGGGAGCTCATGGTGGTTGGCGAGCCTGTACTGGTGGTTGCACCGTCTCCACCTCAATGCTCGGAGGCTGTGGCTGGGCTTGTTAGCCTTGTTGCTCCGCTCTTGTACAGCGTGGATTTCCGGCCGTACTTCACCATCCATGATCCAGATTTCGCTCGCCTGAATGCGCTTGCTGAAGGCGAGGTTTTTCCTCCGATGGTGCTTGGTGTGACCAACTTGTTTTTCTTGAAGAGTCTTAAGAGCATTCCCAATGTCGTGTCCGTGGGGAGCCCAAACCCGAATTCCACTAGGGTGCTCCCAGTGGGTGGCCAGTCCCACGGATCAGGCAATGGGATCAATGGGACGCCTGGGAAGCTCAAGCTTGACAAACTCGCAATCAACAAGTTTTCTCCGACTGGCCTATTGAATTCCATCAAATTAAGAAGAGAAGGCCCTCTTTGCCTCATGACAGAGCACAAGGAGGCTCTATGGAGCACATATGTGTCAACCACAAAGCCTGATACTTCTGTTCTAAATAGGCTTATTGATGCGGGCGTATCACCGAGGATTGAGGAATCCATGTCGGTTGTCAACAATGAGATATTGCGGCGACATTTCTTGGAGCTAACAACCAACTTCCTTGCACCTTTCGGGCCATATCTGAGAACCACCACGCCATCAGAAGGAAGCTCTCCTTTTGTCGATCCACCATTATTGCCTCCATTTCATGCAGATGAATTTGTCAATGGTCTGGCTGCTAGAGGTGCAGGGAAATTTTTGTCCAAAAGGATGAAGTCCAATTGGTTGGACCTGTATAGGTAAACCCTAAGAATATTTATTTGGTGATACAGTTTTACCTTTTCATTTTTTGAATTGCTTGGAATGAGAGGATCAGGAGCTAACTTTCTTTATTGCGTGTCACCACTACAGGAGATTTTTGGAAGGTCCCAACTTTATGCCTTGGTTCCGGCAAAGGCGTGCTGCAGCAGAGCAAGAACAGCAGAGGCTCTGGAGGCAGGCTCGCATGAATGTTGACATTGAAAAGCTAATGTCAAAGTTGTCTGAATTGGAGAGAATTGATTCTTTTAATGCTATTGAGCGGTATCTTCTACGTGAGATGGAGGTAACTGTCTTTCTGATGCTTTCTTGAATAAAGTTTAACTCGCTTATCGTGATTTCCTTTCCCATATCTACCAAGTGTTGATTGTTGAAATTTATTAACATGGTAGCCCATATTTGTTCATATCTAGCTATCTATGTAGCAGTTACTTGCGGAAATTTTAGATAATCCTTAACTCTTGTATGTGGCTATGACAAAGGTAACTGCAGAAAAAAAAATGTACGGCATAACTTAAAAGAAATGTCGACCAGCGGGGGAATGACCACCCCCACGGCTTTTCATTAAGAAGAAGCCTCAACCAAACTGGCCGAGAAAAACCACGAACCTGCTGCATAACTTAGTGGACTATATTTTCTGACAGCCATCCTGCTCTGAATTTGCCATCTGATTAACCGCAGGAATATTACGTGTGAAAATCTGCATTACAGTGATTTACATTTAGTAACTTGAACATTACGTTTTGGCCAATCAGAACCTGTGCTTGGTGCATTAGACAGTTTATTTGAACTAAAGATGAATTGTAATACAAGGCGTTTTTTTAGTATGAAACATTATACTGTATGGAGTGGTTGCCTTGCCTTGCACAAAATTAAGGCTAAAATGTTGACAGAATTAGATGTTCAGATCATGGAGTCCTGGATTATTAGCTTGATGTTGATTCCATTGGGATTCTGCTCTGTGTTTATTTTGTGAATAACCACCTTTGTTCTGGCACTACTGCATTATCTTGTAATGAAGCAATATAGTATGAGTGAACTTATGTACTCAATATTGATCCAATGCAACCTCCTTCAGCAATAGATCTTGTTTGCCAGATGTCTTCCATCTCATCCTTTGTGTAGACAAAAGTTTTACTCACCATTTAGGAGTATTGCTTTATTTCTGCCTGCTTTACCCTGTAGTAGTTTGATTGCTGTAGTTATTTTCCTGACTAAGCAGAGCTACAACTTGGTGGGTGGAAAATTCACCACTACTAGTTGAAAGAATGATTATCTTCCGCATTTATCTATTCTGTTAGTCAGTCATTAGTGTTCTTTTGCACTTTATCCTTTGAAGATTCTGATGTTAGTTTTCGATCCTTGACCTGCAGAATTCTAGAACAGGTGCTACTGAATCAGTAACAGTGTGTGAGAAATTGAAGGGAGACCTCCGAGCAGCATTCAGTGTCCTCCCAAAGGACATGCAGCAACTCCTGCTCTCTAACCCTAAAAGGGCTTTGCTGCTTCAAGGTAGCAACGAAAAGATCCCAGGGTTAGATGGCATTGTCTCCCAGACAAGTTTGTAGCACTTTGTTTTCCCTGTAAAAATACTTTTTTGTGATTCTTTTGCCCCACATATAGTCCAAAATCAACTCATTTTTTATACTTGGCTATTGGGTTGACACGATATCTTCAAGATAAGATCTCCCCCCCCCCCCCCCCCGCCCCCCTCAATCACCTCTCTAAATATTTTGGTTTCTTGGTCAGTGAGTTAATATGCTAAACAACCCTACAAATTCGTGTTTTTATACATCAACATAGCATATCTTCGGCTAAAATAGAAGGCCGTGCTTATCAAGGAACCTAATAAGTGAGTGTTAATGGTTATTCCCTTTCTTGATCTTGCTTGCAGCCAAATGATTGCCCCCCCCCCCCCCCCCACCCCAATCCTCCAATATGAGGAGTCAATCCATGATAATCATGTAATGCAGTGCTTAGGGGGAAAGAATGTTTTTCTTGTTAATTAATTATTTAGTTTTCTACCAAAATTTTGTCGCTCGACAGGCTTGTCTGTGCTGATCTAATGATGTCTCAGTTTTTTCACTAAACAGCTCGAGGTTCACTAAGATTATACTCTACAATGCTTCTTGACAGGTTACTACTTCCCCATAGGGAATAGATATTTAAATTGTTAGTGTTTCAGACCATATTTCTTAGAATTATGAGCACAGTCATATGATTAGAAGTTTAGGACCAGTTAATAAAAAACGATTATTTTCTGTGAAGTTTGTGTTTGATTGTACAAAGCTGAAGTAGTTCTTTGTTACCACTGCTACACCTGTAGTCATTATAATCCTTCTTAACTGTAGCTTGGGCCTGCAGTGAAACATGACGCTATGTGAACATGTTACATGTAAATTATGTAATAGATATTCGAGCATACTGTGTACTTCAACCTAATTGTGGATCGATTTCAAGGTTCAGAAGTGCGTCATTATTGACCATTCATTACACACTAATTGATACTCTACCTAAACTACTTGACAAATACAACATACGCTAGAGCGATGATGCACACAATCAAGAACTGTTCCATCCACTTCATATGGTCAAGAATCCTCTGCAGCCTCTCCTCCATTAGCGACATGTTATTCCCTTGGGGACACGATGTTTCCTGAGTAGCATGTTCCACTCGTTTCTGCAGTCCTTCATCAACCGTGTCTGCGCACTGGACGAACTGGCAGCCACCAGCCTGTGTGTATCTACAAGGAAAAAAAAATGTCAAGATGAAGAACGGGAGGAATCCAAAGTTCCAAACTAGCAGAAATAGATCGGGGGAATGACTTTATTGTTTCGCTTATGCTTATTATATACATGTGAATCATTTTATTAGCAATTTAAAAATAATTTACGAGTAAAACTTTTTTTCCTTAGCGATCCAAAATCTGTTTAGCTTATGCTTATTATATACATGTGAATCATTTTATTAGCAATTTAAAAATAATTTACGAGTAAAACTTTTGTCCTTGGCGATCCAAAATCAAATACTGTAGAATAATTTGTGGTGAACAACCATATAATCAACTCTAATTTAATTTTAAATTTGGTTTAATTATAAACATAAGCATGAGCAAAACAATAGGAAAGTCACTCACCGAGAAATAAGGGCACCTGTAGAACACACAGCCTTCGTTATCCTCCTTGGTGTTGCAGTAGTACACGTTAGCTTGGACCTGGCAATCTGGGCAGTGCACTGTTTTGACATTTGCCGGGGCGATGTCTCTTTTGCTCGTCGAACTCGAATCCGACCTGTCTCCTTTGCTCGTCGAACTCGAATCCGAGCTCTCTGACCGGGGAAGGCGGTTGAACTGTTCGTATGCCTGGAAGAGAGTAGAGTAAAGGTCACCACGAGCCAAAAGTCTTCATACGGTTGACAATAAAGGGAGCAGTCACATTCACTTCAATACGATCTCAACGGGGAAAAATAAGTCTTTCTGAGCCCAACTGTAATATGAAAAAAATACCTTGTACTCCCAAAATAGAAAAAAATAACAAATTTTCAACCTAGGATAAATTTATTACGAAAATACATTCAATTATTGATTTAATAAAACTAATTTGGTATTATAATATTACTATATTTATCTATAAATTTAGTTAAACTTGAACTAGTTTGATTTTAACCAAAGTCAAAACGTCTTGTAACCTGAAACGGAGGGAGTAATATTTAGGGAACACATTTTTATCTAACTATATATAAGCATGTAATGTCAGCACGTTTATAAACTTTCTTTAGTCTGTAGCAAGGTTGTTAAAATCACGATTCTAAATCGGAATCAGATCGAAAGTTCTAGGTATATGAAAATCATAAAATCCGCACCGGGGTAGCGTAAAAGCAGGGAATGCCGAATACGAAGTGTATCGTGGAATTATGGGTAATGTTGCAATCGGCCAAGCTTTGGTTGTCGTCCAACTGCCTCGCGTTGAAGACGAAACGCTGATCTCTCGGATGGATTCCTGCCATCCACAGCTGCCGGTCGCCGCGCGAGCCGGCAACCACAGCTGCCGGCGCCGGAGGGAGGAGATGAGAAGCAGAGCCGGCGCTGGCGGCGGAGGAAGGAGATCCGGCGCCGGCCGTCGGTGGAGGGAGGAGGGGAGTCAAGCGGTGGCGATGCAAGCGAGATGCGGGAGGGGATGCGGTGCGCACCGGGAGAAGAAAAAGAGACGGCCGAACACAGAGAGAGGGGTAGTTGGGGAATTAAGTTGTGGATTTGGTGGGCTAGGTCACGCCCACTGTGGGCTTCATTTCCTTACCTGTGTCTCTATCCAATTAATCCACACATATATCGGTGCTTGCCCTGTAGGCTAGGTGTCTTTGGGCTAACTTTTTGACTAGAAGTACGGGCCTCATAGCTTGCACTAAGAGAGGTCTTACCTCGCTCGGCGTAGATCTTGTCCTTGACACTGGCGATGGTGTCGCTCCTCGCAACCTCGAGGGAGATTATTCTCCCTTTGAGCGTCTTCACGTAGATCCGCATCTCTCCTCCCTATTCTACTTTCTACCTCTGCCTGAGCTACCTCCTCTTTTGCTCTCCCTGTTGATGCCCTAATCGTGTGTTTGACGGCTTGAGGAAGACGGCGGTGGTGGTGGAAACTGAAACCTGATTATATGGCCGATGGACGGGATGTTTCCAAACTACCAATGCCCCACCTAATCAACTGTTTTATCGGGATGGATGGTTACGGTACGTGAATCGGTAACCAGATTAGTTACCATTCGCGGTCGCTCCCATTTGCCCTCTGCCCATATTCAAATTGCTCCGCCTACCTCACACAACACATACATATGTTACCAACATGTGGTTATGGGCTCTTAGCCCAAGGAGACAAATGATTTCCAGACAAGTTAGTACCACCTTGTTTCTCCCTGTAAAATTATTACTGAATTAGCCCACAAACTCGGCTTGGCTGTGAATTGTTTGTGATCCCAGCACCTGGGCACCAAGCCACCAAGGTATAGAGATCAGCGAGTTAAAATAAGCAGGAGCCAAAACTCCATAGAAGAATCATTAAGTCGGCCAATTCATTGGCAGAACTATAAATAAGTAACACAAATCAGTGGGTAGCAAGTATTCTAGTTCGGAGGCTGAACCGCAGAAAGTGCTTTCCTTGTAGGGTGTTAATAGAAACATGCGTGCTTGTAGGGAAACGGCTTGGCTTATCACTGCTATGTCATATGCAGGTCCACCAAAGAACATTGAGCTATTGAAGACCAATCACAATTCAGACCGGCGAGGAAGACCAATCGCAAATTGCAAAAAAAATATGGAAATTAAGGGATGGTTATGCCTCCATGTTACTTCCACCTACTATGCATGCTTGCTATTAACCGTCCCCAAAAGGTTTAGTCAAGATTCAACATCCAGCAAACTTGACATGGCTGAAAAAGAAACAGCTAGCACATAAAGTACTAGGTAACAAGTGCTTATTACTCAAGGCAGTAACAAGTAGTCAAAGTAATAGTCTAGATTCGGCATCCAGTAGGAACTTTAGCTTTGATAACGCTTGAACGCTGGTGACTCTGATGATACTGATGGAATGATGGATGAGATGACTCTTCAGAAGTTGAAGTACCTGCACCACCTCACCTTCTTTGGCCTCAGCTGAAAAAGAATGGATTGGAAAAGTACATAATCAGAACAATGGGGAGAAATATTCATCTGAGGATGTCATTGCTTAGAAGCTGACAAAATCTGAAACATCTCATTGTTTCATATTGTCAGCATATGCAAACGATTTAGATACGGTAACAGCACACGGTACACCAGAAATATATAGGATGCATATACCACAGAACCAAAACTGGAACATCAAACTCCATTATGTTAACTACTCATATTTGACAAGAAGGAAACAGGCATCAAATCATATTGGGACAAGATCGCTAAGAACTACTAAGTACCATTTGCAAACAATGAAACATGCATCATAACTCCAAAAGTCATATTAGGACATGATCACTAAGACTGAAAACATGGTTTATGGTGATAAGGCTCACCTGATTGCTGTGGCCACACTTCTTCTTGCGGCAGTTTGTAGCCCTGGGAGGCAGAGTTGCATAGCACCTGCAAGACAAAGGGGTGAACAAAAAAAGACAAATTGTGCAATAAACCTTGCAAGCACAAAATTCTCGACCAAATTGCCTTATAGCTGACCAAATATAAAGGACTAGGGAGACTATATGTATGCACATTGAGAGATTTTGAAACACAGCTTATCTTGCGCATCGGATCGATCGATCATTTTTTCTACCAAACAACCGTCCCAATAACGTAAACGAGTAACAGCACAGCTCTCACCAAGCCATAGAAAGGGCAAAGAGTGAACAAAGTAATCAAACGACTTGCAGCATGGTACAATTTGTAAATTCTTTCAAAAGTATTGATGACTAAACTGACACACCCGAAACAGAATGTATATGTGTGCCGATCTGGCTGGTTCGCAATTGAACCTTCCTGCTTGCATTGCCTATCAACCTTATATCGATCCAACTAACTACATGACGTGAATAAACATAAACCTGACGGCAACAGTATATCACAGTGAGAGAGGACTTTGTGCCTTTGTGGTGCCAGTGGCCTAGTGCCCCTGCTGTTAGAAAAAAAAACTGAAATTAAAACGATCCAGTATGGTGGATTGGTGAGACATCGACAAGGTGCTCACATTGATCATAGCTGACTCGTAATAGAATGCATCCAACTAAAATACTGAACTGTTCATCGCTAACAAAACTCATCTAAGCAAGCACGACCAACTCAACAACATCTCAGGTTGCGATAGATCGATGTAAGAACTAAGAAGGGAGCGGTGCGCGAGTAGTATTACTTCCTGCAGACCATCTTGTTGATGTTGTGCTTGTAGGCGAGGACCCTGAGCGAGGGCTCGATCCAGATGTGGCCGCCGCGTAGGCGAAGCACCAGGTGAAGCGTGGACTCCTTCTGGATGTTGTAGTCGGCCAGCGTGCGGCCATCCTCCAGCTGCTTCCCGGCGAAGATGAGGCGCTGCTGGTCCGGCGGGATACCTACAAGCACAGAAACAATTAGTCAGCCAAAAACCCCAGTCACCGACCAACCCAAATCCACGAATTCTTTGCTACTGATCTGATCGGGCAAATGCAACAAGCAGATGGGGGCAGAGAGATCGATATGCAACCGCAGTCTCAAACTCGCAACACGAGCAGTAAGAGAGCAGGGTTACCTTCCTTGTCCTGGATCTTGGCCTTGACGTTGGCGACGGCGTCGCTGTTCTCCACCTCGAGGGTGATGGTCTTCCCCGTCAGCGTCTTCACGAAGATCTGCATCCTCAACTCCGCTTGCTTTCCTCTCCCTCGCGAGTCGCGGACCCCTATCTCCTCCGCTAATCTGGTGCTCTCGAGCGAGTGGAAATGGCGGTGGTGTTGGTGGCGAGAGCGAACTGATGGCGGCGCGGATTGTGCGGCCTTATATATCCTCCACTGACGTAACGCGCCCGTCAAGTCACCGATAAGCCAAAATACTACTACCCATTAACCGAGCGCTTTTACTGCAAAGATAGAGAACGATTTTGCTATACGTCTCACGACAGATTTTTTGCGTCAAATCACCCGAATTTGCTTTCGTCGGATCACTTGGGCATGGTTTAATTTGACGGTCGTGATTTATCCCCCTACCACCACGACACCACCTAGCAGTATCTTTACCGGGCACACAATGAATAATACAAACAAACTGATGAGCACGGGCCAAAATATGAACACCATGATTTAATTTACAGCACATTTGTATTAAAATTACATTGCACTTATATGCCATATCTATTGTTTTTACAAATATAATTTTAGTTATAAAGCACTGTAATTTTAGTTATAAATGCAACATTTAACACTTTAGACATCTGAACGGTTTTTCAAGGAGTGCATTTGTACTAAAACGACAAATATTATAGTTACCAAAATTTACGGTGTATTTGTACTAAAATTATAGTGCACTTACATGTCATATCTACTGTTTTTACAAATGTAATTTTAGTTGTAAAGCACTGTAATTTTAGTTATAAATGCAACATTTAACACTTTAGATACCTGGACGGTTTCTCAAGCAGTGCATTTGTACTAAAACGATAAATATTATAGTTACCAAAATTTACAGTGCATTTGTACTAAAATTACAGTGTACTTACATACCATATCTACTTTTTTACAAATGTAATTTTAGTTATAAGGCACTGTAATTTTAGTTATAAATGCAACATTTGTGTTAATCTCTACTAAATACTACTCTAGTAACCAATACAATCACAAGCTACCTGAACGGTTTCTCTGTACTTTATTTTTATGGTTGGATGCAAATATAAGGGGAGAAAAAAATCTGAGTGATTTTTTCTTAAAAATCATACGACAGATGCCTAGACAATTATTCCATAGAGAAAGATCAGAGGGGAGAGAGCAACGCAACTGCGATGCTCAGGAGTGGTGGTAAACGCCGTGTGCTAATCACATGAGGCCCAGATCGCGGCCCGTACGAGATAGCCACTGGCCCAGACCGCACTGAGATCTCAACAAATTTCGCGGCCCATATCAGTTGGGGGCAGATGAGATGAGACGAGAAGACGACCAGCGAGAGACACGAAGAACAGAGGAAAGCGGTGGCGGAGGCAGAGCACGAGACATGTTTCTGTATCTGGAGTGGAAATTTTGTTGGATTTAAGGCGCATTTCATTCTGTAGAGGCATTTTTATGCATACAACGGGGGCCCTTGATTAACGCCTCGCTGCTGGTGCGCCGTCCTAGCTAGGTAGATATCATCCAGGAAAATCTGGGATTATTCACCACCTAACTCTTGAGTTTTGGCCGTCTATCACCCGTACGTCGCACGAAGGCGGCCATGTGTTTACCTACTGTTCTCTCCTGCCTCCACACTTTCTGGCACGGTACAAAAGCCATACATAGCCACACTGCCACACTCATTGCGTGTGTGTCGAAGACGGCCGGGCGCTGCTAGATCTACCAAGCACTCGATCAGCTTTCAGCTCTGGGTGTTAGCCAGCAAGAACCCATCGGTCGATCGATCGATCCATGGCGCCTGCTGCTCAGGAGCTGCTGCTGCAAGAAGTGCCGCAGCCTCGCCGCACCGGCGCGGCCCTCATCGTGGGCGCCACCGGCTACATCGGCCGTTTCGTCGCCGAGGCCTGCCTCGACAGCGGCCGCGACACCTTCATCCTCGTCCGCCCCGGGAACGCCTGCCCCGCGCGCGCCGCCTCCGTCGACGCGCTCCGCCAGAAAGGCGCCGTCGTCATCGAGGTGATTAGAGTTTAAAATTAACCAACTTAGTTAAGCGCGCGGAAATGAACACATATTTGGATTCATGGCGTGTGTGCTCGTGACAGGGCTGCGTCGGGGGGAAGGAGGGGAGGAAGTCCGTGGAGGCGGCGCTCCGCGCGCGCGGCGTCGAGGTGGTGATCTCGGTGATGGGCGGCGCCAGCATCCTCGACCAGCTCGGCCTCATCGAGGCCATCCGAGCTGCAGGCACGGTCAAAGTACGTACACTACACATTTTACATACGAGCGCGTGCATGCGCGCGTCGCACAACTCGGATTTTTGGCACGTAAAGTTTGGTCTGCGCGGTGCGTGTGCGTGGGTGCAGAGGTTTCTGCCGTCGGAGTTCGGGCACGACGTGGACAGGGCGCGGCCGGTGGGGGCGGGGCTGAGGTTCTACGAGGAGAAGCGGCTGGTGCGGCGGGCGGCGGAGGCGTCGGGCGTGCCGTACACCTTCATCTGCTGCAACTCCATCGCCGGCTGGCCCTACCACGACAGCACGCACCCGTCCGAGCTGCCGCCGCCGCTCGACCGCTTCCAGATCTACGGCGACGGCGACGTCAGAGGTACGTAGTACACGCTCATGCTTGCGCCGCATGATGAAATTCACCTTCGATGCGATTTTGCCAACGGTGTGCTGCATGCGCGCGCGTGCAGCTTTCTTCGTGGCTGGAAGCGACATTGGTAAGTTCACCATCAGGGCTGCCTACGACGCCCGGAGCATCAACAAGATCGTGCACTTCCGTCCCGCCTGCAATCTCCTCAGCACGAACGAGATGGCGTCGCTGTGGGAGAGCAAGATCGGCCGGACACTGCCACGCGTGACGCTTACCGAGGAGGACTTGATCGCCATGGCTGCAGGTTTGGCCACCTAAAAGAATACTCTCGCGCTCTAAATGGAATTTTGTCATGGTGTATGATCTATTCATCATTTTGACTGCAGATGACATCATCCCGGAGAGCATAGTCGCTTCACTGACGCATGACATTTTTATAAACGGTTGCCAGACACATTTCTACATAGACGGGCCTAGAGACATTGAAATCTCAAGCCTTTACCCTGATATTCCCTTCAGAACAATAGACGAATGCTTCGACGACTACATACATGTCCTCAACCTAGCAGAGGAAGCTAAAGAAGAGGAGGAGAAGAAGAACGCGCCAACAGTTGGGAGATTGGCAATACCACCTACTTGTGCTTAGGTCCTCATAAGAAGTCCTGAAACAATTACCTTCTCGTGTTTCTTCCACCGTCCATGTATCCATCCGATTTGATTGTCTGAAACTATGTTTTATTTATGTGTATCTATCTAGACCATGGAATTGATGTACCATTAATTACTACGTGTCTGTTTGGAAGATGTTTTTATTCCTTTTTAGATTGGTTTGGCAAATTTGAAATTATCATCATCTCAATATCCAACAGTTATGAACGGTTCTTATCCAGTCAATTTATTTCTTTTTTACTATACATATAGACATACATTCTACCCCCGGATCCCCCCCCCCCAACACACACACACACACACACAAAAAGTGAGTGAGAGAGAGAGAGAGAGAGAGAGAGAGAGAGAGAGAGAGAGAGAGAGATTAACATTCAGCAGTTGAAGGACCTTGGTTTGACCACCTGAAAAGATTATTTTTTGAACGAAACCCCTGAAAAGATTATTCATTTTATGTATTACTACAGATGTTTATTCACCCTTTCCTAATGCAGGGGGATGATAAAAGTACAAGTCTGCAAGACGGCAACAAACTAACAGTCTTATTTGAGAAAAAAAAAACAATCATTTATCAACCAACACAACTTAGCACGGGTAAAATTTGAACTTCTACCCACTAACACGCTTCTCTAGTCACACAATTGTGTCGTCAGGTTGTTGACCATGAAAAGTTGAGAGCCGGACTGATTGCAGTGCATGCCCCGTCAACAGAAATGCATCCCATATGCAAAAGCCAAGAAAGATAGCCTTTTTAAATACTCCCTCCGTCCCATAATATAAGGGATTTTAATTTTTTTCTTACACTGTTTGACCATTCGTCTTATTTTTTTTAAAAAATAGAATTATTATTTATTTTATTTGTGACTTACTTTATTATCCAAAGTACTTTAAACAAAACTTTTTGTTTTTTTTATATTTGCACAATTTTTTTAATAAGACGAATGGTCAAACAGTGCAAGAAAAAAAAAATAAAATCCCTTATATTATGGGACGGAGGGAGTATACGTTTTCTTGAACAACCGTCGTTACTTACAAGCACTACTCTGTTAGAACCCACAACATGATCTCAATATCCAACAGTCATGATCAGTTCTTATCCTAGTCAATTTTAGTGTACATAGATGTCAAGGAGAGCTATCATTTTAAACCCCGATTTTTAACCTCAGAAAGCCATCAGCATTTTGCAGTTGAAGGACCCGCTTTTCCAGTATGACAGTATGGACGTTGTCATTCCATTAACACTTCAGACATCAAACAAAACTTTGATGGTATGATATGGCTGAGAATAAATGACTATGTACCTCAAGCTTAACGTCCACTTCAATCCCAGCATCATGATGCAAAGGTTGAAATTAGATGGGTGCACCATCAGGCTGTTGAGGGTTGGCGGCCGCAGCTTGACGCCTCTGACGCTCTCGCAAATATAGGACAGTTACAAGGCAAGCGAAGAGAGTAAATATTGTTGCGTTCCCCTCATCCATAAGAACATCCTCCACCCATTCCTCAACTACAGGATATACCTCCGGCAGTGAATCAATAAAATGAACCTGAAAGTAAATAAGGATTTAGTTGCCCATGGCAAACTAGTAAAACAGTGATGTTGATTATACAGCAAGATGGCAATACCAAATGTGACAAGCAGAACATTATGGAAATATGAAATATAGCATGCATAGCAAAAACTGTTAGCACTAATCATTACGTGACTGAGACTACACAGCCTTTCAAATTCAATATGCACAACATGAACTGGTATCACACTGTTCAAACAATGAATCAGATTTCTACAAATCCAGAACCATACTTATAGCCTTAAAAAATTCCATACCTTTAAAGTAATTAAATTCATTTACAATTAGACTGAGAAGCAGAGGTGGCAAAAGAGGAAGAGCTTAGCAAAATCAAACTGAATCCCAGGTCGTTTTGAATCAGCGTTCAAGAAATTAGACTGGTCAGCACCATCCCAGGCTGATCCACAACAGTTTTCTTAAGTGTCCTTTCTTTTATTGTAACATGATATATTTCACAACTCAGAATGCATGGATGCTAGGGTATCGTATATCAGGTTTAAGTTTCATAATCAGTTTTGAAGAGGTTAGGGTATTGTACATCAGCTTGAGCTACCATTGGAAATTGGGTGGAGAGATGATACCACTGTCTGGAGGTAAGGAAAAAAAACTAGCAGTGACTCAGTGGGATTTGACTCGAGAAATGGTTCTCAAAATAAAACATGGTTAAAAAGAAACAGTAATTACCAAACAGCGCTAAACTTGAAATATACCCAGTAAACTACACAAGTGTTTTATAAGTTGATATGTCTTGTATGATACTAAGCAACGGTGTGACACATACAGAAAATAATGTCTTACCAAAAAGCTTCCATCATAGTTCTTCCTTATCCATAAACTTGTTAGTGCAAGCATGACAGGGAGCTTAGCTGCTGGATCCACCTCAACAGCCTGATCATAATATCTTTTTGCCAGGTGCAAGTCAAGGGGAAGTCCATGGCCATGCTCATGCATATAACCAAGGTTAAACATGGCCTGAGCATTAGATTGTGATTGCGCATGCATATATGCCTCGGCTGCACGCTCGTAATCCCTGCCAACACCCTGTAATACAAAAGTACACATCCAATACACAATGTCAGCAATAATGGTCTCTTTAAGAACGCAGAGGCCCCCAGTATATAAGAAGTGCATAAGCAATTTTTCAAAATTATAATAATAACAGACTGTTTTTTTGTAATAATTATGGAAAAGTTTTGCATACAACAAGTAAACCGGTAAAAAAGAACAAGATCACTTCCCAATTTGCTGACAAGCCAATTCGCCTGGCCAAGTACCAAAAAGAGGAACACGGAAAGAAACTGGAATGCGAACTAGGCTATTAAACTAAGGTGATTAGATGGTGATGACCAAAAACTCGGAAAAGCTAAAATTAGAGGTAACCTTTCATTAGTTATTTAAATATTCTCCCTTGGAAACATGGTTCATCTCAAAAGAAAAAAAAATCATACTAATACATAACTCAAGGTAAAAACATGGTTATGTTGATTGTCATCAAGCAGTAGTTACGGCACATAACATATGAATATATACTTTATGAAATTTATTAGCATGCACTTATGTATATAGTAAACATGTTTTCAAATCATATATTTACTTAGTAATTTGTAATGGTAATACTAACAGGATAACCAAAAGAAAGAACTGCACCTCATGCATCTTATACAAGAAATTCTTACATATTATAGTGTTTGTGTCAATTTGATGAAGGTATTTAGGAAAAGTCCTCTGTCCTCTAACAAATTCAAGAGCATTTCAGAATTTCTCATAACCAAGAACATGGATTGTAACACATACCCGGCCATAGTAGTAGGCGTCACCAATTAACAAGGCAGCATGTTCGTTACCCTGCTCGGATGCTTGCCACCACAGAGCATGTGCACGGAGATGTCTTTCCATATCTGTACAGAAGCCAGATTCTCCCATGCAAATACTTTCATCGCCATACCTATCAAGAATCCAGGCAGCATTGCTTTGTGCAACCTCATATCCAAGATCCGCCATTCTAGAATACAGGAGTAATGCTTTCCCTATGTCACCTTTCAAATAAGATTCCAGAGCCCATCTAGAAAGTGAGCTCCAGGGGCCCCTCTCAGCAACAGATTTGTACATCACTGCCGCCTGAAAGAATAAATATGGTACAAATGATTCTGTTGGTTGACAAAATTACATTGATTCCCTATTTGTATCATAAAAAACTATTATTAGAAAAACTATTTTGCAGTTCAACCTTTCTGATATATACCTCTAAAAGAGTAAGGAAAAGATTGATATTGTAAAACAGAGGGTGTTTCCTTCAAGTCTTATAACCGAAGGCATAGTTCAGAATTATCTTTATGTAAGACCATATTATGCAAAAGAGCAAGTGAACTCTAAATTTGAATATAAGTAAAGTTATTTGATTAATCGTAAGTGCATAGGCAAGTTATTGGCTCAATTCAAAAGACAGACAGGTAAGAAGTACATGGATTTGATGGAAGCTTTTGGTCTTCTTTCAATAATTTCAACAGATATATAAATGAAAAAAAAGGAGGGGAAATTGTGTTTATGCGGAAGGACACAGGCAGCCACGTCTGCATGTTTGGTGTTTGCAATTGGTGCATACATGCAGATGTATAATATTTCCTAGCATGGACACTATATCGAGTAGCACACTGTAGAGCCTCTTAGAAGGGTCTATCAGACAAGGAATGCAGCTACTGCACAATATCTGTGACAGCATAGCCATCTAATGATAGTTTGCAGCTTCAGCATAGACCAGCAAGAATGCATCAGCACTTTGGAAAAATAAAAAAAAATGCAATTCAAGTTTCTTAGGAATTATTCATGGCATAACTTTCAGTCACATCCTGTTTCAAATTTGTTCTCCAAGGCGTGAGAGGAGCACACCAATAGTTCCTCCAATGGCAAGCTGTGTTGAATACCAGAAGTTTTTGTTTGTCATCTTCATCAGAGGATGAATAGTGAAGAATTAAATATGAATATGTCTTTATATTTTGAAGTCATTTTTATACACAAAGTATCCATATTAGCTTTTGATTTCAAATTACGGTTTTAACTTGATTTCTAAAATTTCATTCTTTCATTCAAACAAGCTGAATTTCCTACGCGATTGTGCAGGGCTAGTTTATAGTTTATGGCAAGTAATATCGCATGTGTTATCCAGTTTGTGCATTTATTTCAAAATGCAGCTAATACAGCATAAAAGAATCATTACCATTTGGAGATTCCTCTTAAGACCAACACCTTTCTGGAACAACTTTGCCACTTGATAAATAGCTTTTGGTTGCCCAGCATTAACTGCTCGAAGAAAGAAATTGCATGCTGTCATCACATCCCTCTTTACTCCAATACCCTTGAGATACAAGACGCCAAGGTTATAATAACCCCCATGTTCCTTATGCTCAGCTGCAATTTCAAAAAATTCCTTTGCCTACAAAATGAGTTAGAAAAACATTAAGTTGCCTAAACCATTACAAGGTGCGGAACACAGGTTTTTCAAAATGGTAAAAAAATGAAATCTATTTTGAAACTTCTGTTGTATAAAGTCATCATGACTTCATGAGATTATATTAATGTATTGAAATTTACATAAGTCTAATTACAAATTAGTGTAGAACAGGAAACATTTGATACTAAATATTTCTCCAACTGCGATCAGATGTGCTATTGAACCATCATCTCTTAATACTTCGTCCAGCTAAAAGTAGCTCTGTTAGAAAAGATGCACATCTCATATCCATTTGAAATTGATGTGCTACTACCACGTATTTAGTCTCTGTAAAACAGTAACTACACGTATCGAGTTATTGTTAATGGCTACAGTATATGGAATGGAATAATGAAAATGCATAGATAATAGGCTACTTCAGTTCCCCATGAGAATAAGATCAATTGTGAAATATAGGTACAGATTGCCATAGGTCATACGAACTTGTGGGTGAAGAATGTCATGTTACATATTTTTATTCCTCTATATCATAATGTATGTCTAACAGTAATATTTTACCAAAATGACCTAAAGAAGAATCTAGCTGGCTAGTGGCCTACAGATTTCCCTGACTAGAAACAACGATAGCAGTGGATATAGTGAGTTGTAACAATGAAATGCAATTCAAGATTCTATCGTCTAACAATGGAATGCAATTCAAGATTCTATTTTCTAGGCTGTAAGCCCAATACAAACATGCAACTAAATTTCAAAACTCTAATACATGATACTTACTTTTGTCAAGTTTTTCTTCTCAACCCCATAACCTTTGACATAGAGATAACCCAGTCCATTGTAAGCTGAGTATTGTTGCTGCTTTGCTGCAAGTGTCAACCACTTGTATGCTTCAGTGTAGTTCCTTTCAACTCCAGCACCTCTAGCATAGATCTCTCCGAGAAGCTCCATTGCCCGTGTATCGCCTTTCTCCACAGCCTTTGAAAACCAATGATATGCTTTCCCATAATCACGTCTAACTCCTCGTAGGCCATAGTAATACAGAAGCCCTAATTTGTGCATTGCAACAGTATTGCCTCGTTGTGCCTGGTACTCTGTGATTTGAAAATCTTCATCATCCTCGCCTCGAGACTTCCTCAAGGCTTCCTTGTTTTCTTCGGTCCCACTGTGTAACCTGACTGGTTCAATCACTGGAGGCTCCTTCGAGATCAAGGAGCTTGTAAGCGCAGCCTCTGCAAGTTCAGCATAAAGTGTGACTGCTTCTTCATACATCTGCAAGAGCAAATTTTTCAGCTAACAAAAAGAAATAGTTTCCTCTGTAATCTGAACAGAAGGAAATAAATAGGTTTAAACCATTTATTTCTGTAGTACAAGAAATTTAACGTGGTATAAACGATGGAAAGATGATATATGTAATAGAGCACCAATACACATACTCGGGTCAAATTCAATCAAACCATGAGGTTTTAGGACACAAATTCAAACAAAACTGAGAAACTTGCATGTTTTCAACCTACAATGATGCTCCAATCATGCTTGGTTGATGCAAGTGAACAAAAGACATAATAAAACTCAACAAGAAGCTATATGAACAGATATTAATTCCATATTTTTTTCAAAGAGAAAGTAAAAAAGGACTACACATGGACCTTCGTTTCATGGAATTAAAACCACTGTCTTTTCTCAAGAAGATAAAGAACAGTAAAACAGATGCTTGATTCTTATAGCAAGAATAAAGACGTGAAATGAAAATTCTTACTGGATCAGTAAAACTATTTTTGCTCCAGAATGTAAATGATTGGCAGATACATAAGTGTAACATGGATCAGGGCATTGGAGGGTAAGGTGAATTGCATAAGACATCATGTTTAGAAAAGTTGAAGAAAATCAAAATGTTTATAATACACTCTCCAACTTCCAAGTTTTTTAGTTGGACTGCCAAAAGGGCACGTGTTGTTACAACCTCAAAGGAATGCATTAGCACCAAATAAACACTGTTGGCCCTGCACACTGTATATCCTCCAGAGATGATAGAGAAATTCATTCAGTTAAACACAATCACATGTCCATACACAGTATGCTAAAAAGTCGCTGGTAAAACTAAAAATTGTAAAATTGTGCTGGATAAACTGGGTAAAGAATGGGGAATTGGTTGCTTAACCAACAACTAGGGGAAAAATGTCCCAAATCCGGGGGGAAACCCTACTGGAACAAAAAATTCAGAGATTTCTACTGTGGATGAATACTAAAATAGGGCTTCAAGGACAATCCCTCCCCAGCCCAATGAAAGCGAGCTAATAACCTCACATAAATTACTACATCACGGAATCCTCATTAGACGCGCAAATTGCAGGAGGAACTAGCAAAGTATCGAATCATCTCACCTCCTGGCGGAAGAAGGAGTAGGCGAGAGCCATCTTAGACTGGAGGTCTCCTGCGTCGGCGGCGAATTTGTGAAGCAGGAAGGCGCGCGAGCGGGACGCCGGGCGCGTCATCCCTGCGCCGGAGAGGAACGCGAGAGCGGACTGCGCGCCGGGGTGCCCCCCCGTAGCTGCGGCCTCGATCTGCGCCGCTGCGGTGGCGAACGCCGCGTCATCCCCCGCCGAGGCCGCGGAGAGCATCGCCCGCACGCCAGCGACGAAGAGCGCATCGGACGGCGAGTCCGGCTCGTCGCCCGAAGGGGAGGCGCTGGCGGGGTCGAGGAGGGGGACCCAGGAGGACGGGGAGAGGAGGGGGTCGGTGGCGGGGGACTCGTCGTCGAAGTCGTCCCACTCGTCGGAGTCGGCGTCGGCTGATGGGAGGGAGGGATGCGCGCCGGCGGTGTCCTTGAGGAAGTCGTCACGGGAGAGGACGAGCACGAACGGGCGGACCGCGGAGGCGCACGGGAGGAGCGCGGAGGCGGCGGCGGCGACGGCGGCGACGAGCAAGAGGAGATGGCGGTGGCGGACGCGAGCCATCGGAGTAGGTACCACCGGACGAGATCGCCGCCTGTTCTGCATCGACTCGGGGTCGGGGAGGTTGCGAGTTTGGAGATGGGCACGTGCGACTGACAAGTGGGACAGTCGAGAGTGGAGAAAATTGCATATCTACCATCGCATAAGATTGGCTTCGTAGAAATACCATCACTTAAATTGGCTTCGCTAGAATACCACTCCCAACTAGAACGGCTTCGCCAAAATGCCATTTTGGACAAAAATGACCCTGCATCCGTCTCTTCCACCTCCGGCACGAGCAAACGGCAATGGTGCGCAGTGCAGTAGTGACGGGTGAGATGAGGAAAGGTCGACGGTGGTCTTCTCCGACGAGTTCGTCCGCCTCACCTAGCTGCGCGGCCCCCAACGCCTTCAGTCTCCACGACGCGCCGCCTCCGTCGCCGACGAGTTCGACGAATCATCCCCATTGCCGGCGAGTTCATCTGCTGCCTCGACGCACCGCCCCATCCTCAACGAGTTCTTCCGCCGCACCTCAACGCGTCACCCTCATCGCCGGTGAGTTCATCCGCTCCGCTTTCGTCGCCGATGAGTTCGGCCCCATCAACGTTGATGGCGTCGGCTACGGCCTCCTCCTAGCGCGGCGGGCAGGATGAAAAGGTGGGGACGACGAGGATGGCAGCGCCCCCATCGTCGCCGGCAAGGTGGCACCGGTGGCTGCCGATGAGCTCCTCCGGCATTGGAGGAAGGGAGAAGAACCAGGGTCATTTTTGTCCAAAATGGCATTTTGGCGAAGCCGTTCTAGTTAGGAGTGGTATTCTAGCGAAGCCGATTTAAGTGATGGTATTTCTGCGAAGCCAATCTTATGCAATGGTAGATATGCAATTTTCTCGTCGAGAGTGGCATTGGCATGACGTGTATGTGGGTCCCACGGTTTAGGACGTGTCTCCTGAAACCTGATTGGCTGGGGATCTTGGGCTTCTAATGGGCCGGTTGGTGGGACAGTATGTGCTTTGGGCCTTTAGCACTTGATATGGGCCATAGAGACGGCCTTTGGCACTTGGGCCATTAATTTTGCTCGATTTGGGCTGACTCATTTTTTCAGGTTGATTATCGTTTATCATCACTAGTTGAATGAACTACTTGAACCATCATTTTTCCTCTAAAATAAGATATGGTGGTGTGTAGAATTTCTTTACGAATTGCATTACATTATCAGATTTATGTGAAAGTTTCCGACCGGTTTCATCCCTGGTCCTAACAAGTATTATGATATTTTTCAGCTTAATTATTATCAGGAATGTTTGGTTGGGCGACGAGGAGAAAATGAACTCGGACAAAAGGAACGTATGAGAAACCAGGAAATGGGAGTGTATGTGTAGAACTATTTCTGCCACGCCATAAAAAACCCAGAGGAAGAAAACCATCATCAATCAGGCAAAACTAAAAGACAAAGACAACAGATTCTGCTTGCGCTGTAGAGAGCAAACAAACAAGCTGATGTGCTTTACTAGTAATCAACTCCTGACTTCTGATAATACATACAAGCACACATCACTCATGCCTCACCTACCACTCTCCCTACATAACACACATATATGGCTGTATATATTGTTTGCGACGCACTATGACAACAAAACCTGCACGATGACGCGGTGCTGGCTGCTGCCTCTTATTATTGCTGTTCGGGCGACACATGTAAATATGTATAGCTACAGGCTAGAGCGGCAGCAGCCTGGCCCTGCTTTTGTGCTGCGTTGGCTTCCTCTTCAGCTGGCGGTGACGGCCATCTTCATCCCTGCGCCACAGTGGCCGGAGAAGCTGCAGATGAAGTAGCTCGTGCCGCGGCCGAGCGTGATGCGGTCGTTCCCGGAGCTGTACTTGGTGCCGGACTCCCGGCAGCCGCTGTAGCCGCCGGCGTCCACCGCCACCACGTTGTGCACGGACGGGTCGTAGCTGAACACTGCGCGGCACAGTACACAAGTTAGCCCAAGCAGCAGCATGCAGCACGCCGCCGCGCGCCATAGTAGTAGAATCAAGTAACGAAACGGTTTTTTTGATCGATCACTCACCAAGGACGTCACCGGCGCGGAAGTTCTTGCCCTTGGACCAGCTGTCCGCGCCGAACGACCAGTCGACGTTGTAGGTGGCGGCGGCGGCGACGTCGGAGCCGACGAGGAGGCACACGAGGAGCAAGCCGAGGGCGAGCCCCTGCGCTGCACTGCCTCTTCCCTGGGCCATCGCGTCTGTGTGAGGAGCAGGCCGGGGAGTACGCGACTACGCGAGCGCTACCCTGTGTGTTCGTTCGGAGAGATCGCTGTGGGGAGACAGGGGGAACGCGAGGAGCGTTTTATAGGGGCGGAAAAGGCGAGCCCGGCAACCTGGATCCAATCACAAGGCCACAGATAATACTGCTGTAGCGTTGTTACACCGGAAATGCGCATAGTAGTTGTACCGAATGCCCGGGGGATGCAGCACGACGTGCATGAATCCACAAAAGGTGGAAATGTTTACTGAAGTAGGCTAGAGTCCAAGAAAGCTGGGAAATGTTTACTGAACCAGTCTAGCATATCTATTTTTTTCTCCTTCCTTCTCAAGGAAATGCAAATGCTGCTGATGCTGTTGGTGATGCAAACACGAAGATTCAGAATTTTGTTGCTGTTCATATGGTTTTCTTTCAGTGAAGTTAACAGTCTTGATGGATGTGATCAGCTGTGATTCAGCAAATGTTGCTATTTCATTTGAAAGTGTTTCCACCAAAAAACCAGCGAAAGTTTCTATAGGCGCTACCTTGTTTGGTTTCCATCTCAATTATGCTTGATCAGGTTGTGTCTTTGTGATTTGCTTCATCTGGAGATAGATGGTACGTACTAGTATATCAAGTTATCAACTGGAGCACAATTAATGATTCTCACTCACAATTCTATCACAGCATCATCTACTACTAGTTGGAACACTGCAAAAATTGTTGAGAATTAGTTCGATGATTTGATCTGTAGTAAATATTATCAGTCTGGTTATTCAGTAAAAATGAAATAGTTAGCTGCTTTTGTGGTCCCCCAAAATTTCCTCCTCATGTACTGACAAATATCTACTGAACCTATTTCCTGATTAAAAAAATGTGTTTCTGTGTTTGGTTCTTCCTGATTTTCTTTATAAAAAATCAAGAATCATGACTACTAGTAGATGAAAGTAGAGCTCTGACTCGTGAAGCTAGGGAACATACTCCCTCCGTCCCAAAATAACTTAATTACTGGGTTTTCGTGTCCAACGTTTGATCATCCGTCTTATTTGAAAAAATTATGAAAAAAATTTAAAAAGATAAGTCACGCATAAAATATTATTCATATTTTATCATCTAACAACAATAAAAATACTAATCATAAAAAAAATTTATATAAGACGGGTAGTCAAACGTTGGATACGAAAACCCAGGAATCGAGTCTTTTTGGGACGGAGGGAGTATCAATCAACATATTCTTTACTGCACCTGATGTTGCCATCTAGCCATGGACTACTCTACTAGTCTACTACTCCCTCTGTCCCACAATATAAGAGATTTTGAGTTTTTGCTTATAACGTTTGACCACTCGTCTTATTCAAATTTTTTTTGCAAATATAAAAAATGAAAAGTTGTGCTTAAAGTACTGTAGATAATAAAGTAAGTCACAAATAAAATAAATAATAATTTCAAATTTTTTGAATAAGAGGAGTGGTCAAACATTGTAAGTAAAAACTCAAAATCCATTATATTATGGGACGGAGGGAGTAGTTCCATAACATCTCACATCCTATGCTGTTTGACATGAGGTTGTTCCTGCTTTGCTTATACGGTAGTAGTACCTACCAGCACTTGATCCTGATGTATTTCTGGAGGTTTTGGATCATCCAGTCCTAGACTTCTTCTGTTTTACGGAGTATGGTAAGTAGCATTCGTATAACGCCTCAATTTCTGCGTGGCGTTAAAAGCTAATTTACAAACAACCCTAATTGCGAAAATTTTGATTCCTTGAGTGCTGAGTCTAAGTTGTGCCAAAGATCTCAATTTGAATCCCTCCTTTAGTCCATCTTCCTGCTATCAAAGATCGTCTCCACAAAATTTCCATCCTAATATAATCCCGAAGTTATCCCTTCTATTTGGAGTTCCGTCCTGAAACCCCACCCGTGAACTTTGTCGAATGTCCGAACCCTAACCCACTCCAATGATTCACCTCCGAGTCCTAAACTCTCTCATTAGTTCCTTCAAACCGATTCTCAAATCCGAATTCAATCTCTCAGGTTTTGATTCATCTATCTTTCTCTCTTTATCGGTTCGTCAATCTACCCTTGTTTTCCTTCTCGAACTTCTGACCCAAGTCTGAATATGCAAATCGAGACCACTTCCACCCTTGAACTCTAAAACCCAAGGTTCAATCCCTTTCGCCTTGAGTTTTTCCCAAAAGGATATCCGTTGCGAAATAATCTCGAAGTTCAAACCTTTCTATTCAGATTTCTCTTCTAAATCCCTTACCCGCACATCTCGTCAAGTAGTCAAACTCAAACTCCCAAGTTACAGTTTCTTTCTCTAAATTATCCATCTCCCTTTGACTCATCTCCAAATATTGTTCCCTTCCTTGACTCCTTCCCATTCTCCCGAGACCGAGTATCGACTTCGAAATTCGAATCCAGACTCCAACCCTAAAACCTCCCAATTAAAATCTCACCTTCATCTCAATTCTCGGATGCCAAAACCCTAGCTCTAAAAGTCCTTGCCTGAAAAGGGTCTCACCCTTGTATTCAAAACCTGTTTCTAAATTTCTTCTGAGATATTTCCCCTCCTAATAAATCCGTTCCGTTGATCTCTCAAGATTTGAGTCTGCACTCAAATCACCTCTAGGTTACTTCGTGCGAAGGTCCCGCAATTGCAATCCTCAAATTCGATAGTCCGAATCCCTGTTTTTGTCTCGTAAATAATGTTGAAGTTCGGATCCTTATATTCGGATTTCATTCCTGAAATCCTAGCCACATATTTTTGCCTAATCCTTGAATCCAGTCTAGTTCAAACATCCACCTCGTGAATCCTAACCCTTCCCTTGATTCATCGAAAACCATTCTCGAAATTTGGACCTTCGTATCCGAATTTCTCTCACGAATATCGTTCGGCCGAATTCTTTCGAAATATTCCAAGATCAATAACCCCTCAAACGATTTGAACCGACGTTCCAGTCATCCCTGTGAAAGTCTATTTTACCTCCCCATAATGTTGGATTCCTTCTTCCTTTCTCTCCTAGGTCCACTTCTTCCTTCTATTCCAGCCCATCTCTCTCTCTCTCTCTCTCTCTCTCTCTCTCTCTCTCTCTCTAAAAGTCTTGACCTACCAACCTACCTACCCCTTGAATCCCTTCATCCACGAAATCCAATCTAATTCCCTCTTTGAAGTCCAACTTGCAAATTGCTGCCCATCCTTGACTCTCCATATATCCTTGAGTTCAGATATACGATTGGAATTCAAATCCCACCTCAAGTGCCTCTCAAATTCCTTCAAATAACTCTCAGCAAAAGTCTAATGATCCTCTCCCAGCCGATGGGCCGCTTCTTGCTTGCTCAGCCCATTCCCTTCGCTCGGCCCAAGTCTAATATACATCCCTCCTTCCTTTTCTTTTCCAAAGGGATTATTAAATCCTTTTCCCTCGTTCCATAAATCAATTCTTTATTCCATGAATCATTTCCTTTGGTCCCTTGTATCAATGACCATCAATAATATTCTTGAGAATATTATTTCTATAAATTCCATAAACCATTTCTCGTAATCCAGAAAATTCCGATAAATCATTTCCTTGTCCGGAAAATCCCATTCGAGCTTCCAAAATTCATATCTCACGATCCGTAACTCCGTTTGACTCCGTTCCACTTCCAATAACTCCGTAAAATTGTGATCTATCTAATGGCACTATTAATTAGCCTAAATAGGATCTTTTATTTGGTCTTTTGTTTAGGTTTTCATTGTTTGAGCCTAGTTGCGGTTGCGGATTTTCGGTCGATCGTGGATATCTCGAAGATTCGGGAAGCTCCGTGAAGACTCTGAGCAAGGCAAGCCACCTTTGAACATCTTGAGCCTATATTTGAACTTAATTATATTGCTTGCAAAATATTATGCATTGATAGGATTGCACATAATATGTTTGCCCCGTCTGCGAGGCAGATCGGTGGGCATACCTAACTTGTTGCATTTAATCCTTCCATTGTTAAATTGTTATATCATGTTTCCTTGTAACCACCTGGTCACGCCTCGGTATTCATGCACTCTGTGTGAGTATCGACGGTCGCCTTCAAACTTAAAATATGGTAGACATCTTGGGTAAAACTTGGTTTACAAAACGATTGGAAAACCCGACGCCTGGGTCGGTGCCTTGTGAAAGAAAATGAGCTTTAAAAATAAAACTTGCGACACAAGGCCATTCCTGGGCGGGATGCTTGTGCGGTCGCTTTTAAGGACCGATTCCTTCGGAATTACATCCGAGCATATGATAGTGCAACCACATGGGTGGAATGGGACACCCCTGGCTGAGTAATTAGCTAATCAGGGGAGCCTTGATGCCGAGAGACAAGTGGATTCGCCGGGGTGGTGTCGGGGAGGACCCCTGGGCTTCCTGGCACAATATGGTCTGGGACCTAACCTGTTGTTGGTCTGGGATCCCTCTCGTCGGCATATGGTAAACCTGTGTCGGCTTTAGAAATGCCTTGTCATGAAAGCTTGGAAGTCTCCCGACGTGGCTGATCCCCACAGGCTGGGTGATCCGGGTTAGTAATGTCGTGTGGGTAAAGTGTACCCCCTCTGCAGAGGTTAACAAACTGTTCGAACGGCCGTGCCCACGGTCATGGGCGGATGTGAGGTGATTCCTTAGCGTAGTTTTTATTTTCCCCCTGTTTTATGAAAAAGTGATGTGGTTTGGGAAACCTGATGTTTGGAAAGGCAAGTGGCTATCAGGGAGACAGCGGGACAGGGAGTCCCTAAAAGTGACTGGTTGTTTGGAGACAACCAAAACTCTGAAAGTTTGGAAAATTGGTTTGGTTTGGGAAACTAGCTTTGAGGCCAACTTTGGGAGTTGTGCAAATCTTGATAAATAATATTGTTCACTTCCCACCCCCGACCGAGCTGAGACCTGTCTCGCTCTGGTTGTGGAAAGCACACACTTAGATTGTTGAAAACTTGCAAATAAAACTGATTGAAAAATAACAGCCTACCCTTGAAGCTTGCATTAACCACCTAAGTTCCCCTGGCTTGCTGAATACGTAAGTACTCACCCTTGCTCTCTATATAAATATAGTTCTGCTAGC